AACTTCAATGTTGACAATATTACAAAATGTTTGGTGCCTATATATTTTTTAAAATGACATTTATTTCTTTTTTAATGCACTGCCAAATTACAATATTTATATATTGGATGCTATTTTGAATGCATAGCAAGATTCCTCAAGACTCTGGGCCTCTTAAGAGAACATAATCCAGTTGAGGTGAAGGTCTCCAAAATTGTGGTAAAAGGCTTCTAAGATCAAGATGCCACAGACATGAAAAAATTTTTATTTTTGAAAAGGTGGACTATTTTGTTCATTATTATAGTTGTTATATACACCGCATGTAGGACTAAGAAACTATCGTTCTCATTCAATAGGAAATAAAAAAATAAAAAAAAGTACATTTGCCTCCCAGTTTACAAAATGTTATAAATGTATACTTATGTTATATGCTCGTCATTCGATTTCTTTATTGTAGACATCCTCAGTGCAACATGTCTACTAAGATGAAGTGCATTTCCATAAGGCTTTAGGAGGAGAAAGCGAATATGAATAAAAACCAAAGGACACCAAAGGTAATAGCCATATGTTATTCAAATATTGGGTCTTACAATTAAGAAGACAATTTGCACATTCTCAAAAACACTCAGACACGAATCATATTGTGGAAATATCAACCATTGTTGCCACCCAGGCACATGCAATGATGCTTGCCCTTCCTATTAAAGATGTTGTGGATGCAACAAAGGAAGGCTTATTTGAGAAGAAAAAGAGAAGTTGCCAGCTCTCCTCATAAGATCAAAGCAATCTTATGTAGGGAGGAAAAGAACAAGGAACTTCAAAATTGTGCGGATAGCCTTAGGGGCTGCTTGGTTGGCTCAAAAACAAATGCAGTATATTTGAAATATTTTGGAGTTGTTTGAATGAGTGAAAAATAAATGTAGGCTTTAAATTTTTTATTTGGATTCAAGTAAATTGAATGCAATATAAAGTTCAAAATGGGGGCGGCAAACGGTGGTCGCTTGCTAGCTGCAGCATGCAAGGGTGGCCAACGACGTTGGCCGAGGGGTGGCTGGTGGTCGGCAAAGGCCGACGGCTAGCCAGTGATGCTAGAGGTGGTTGCTGGTACTGAGTTTTTTATGTATTTGAACTAGAGAGTGAATTACTTTTACTTCAAAATTTTACTTTACATTCCTTTTACTTACCTACGTACCCCCTAATCAATTACATAAGATGATTACCTACCAGCAGCCACCTCTAGCGTCACTGGCTAGTCGTTGGCCTTTGCCGACCACAATATGGTCTTCTTTTGGAAATCTTATGTGGAGATGATTACCTACGTACCCCCTCCCAGCACATCAAGCCGAGCGTAATTCCTTAAAATAAATGAACATGCATTCACAAGTCCTAAATCACAATTGTGTATATATGAAACTGCTGCATCTCCAAGCCTACATCAATTTTACCCTTCAAATACAAGTATATTATTCATAGCTTGTCAATGACTTCTTCATGTATTATGTATGAAACTGCTCACAATGCCAACTGCTTGTGCAATGTCTGTATAAAACTGCTCCAAAAGAAGACCATATTGTGATACACATGCCAAGTAACCACGGGTCAATGGATTCTTAATCACTGGGGAGAAAACTCATCATAAGAAATCTATTTATGTTGTATAGAACCTTTTGCCATCAACCTAGCCTTGTACTGCACATTAGCTATGAGATCATTTCTTTTTTGCATGTATCCATTTGCACCTAATGACTTTTATTCCTAAAGGAAGCTCCAACAATCTTTAAGTAGCATCCTTCTGAACCATCTCTTCATCAATAGCCCTCTTTTATATATCACCATCAGAACCGTCTATCGCTTTCTCATAATTACTAAAAACTTCAACCTCCATGGCTGAAAGTGCAAATGAAGTTTGGTCCCTCAACCAAGTTGGTTTTGGGATATTCTAGCATCTTGACATGTTCTTCGTAATATATTCCTATGCATGAATCTCATCCTCAATATCATTTTCTACTTCCTAATGTACAAATGAATTAGGTACCTGGGTAGAAGTAATCTGCCTCTATGGATTAAATAGAGTTGCATCAAATTCTAACTTTTATAGTGCATATGTGGCCCCAATAGAACTATTCTCCTACTTAGAGTATCGAGGCTTCAACATGCTTGCCTCGTCAAAAGTAACATTCATGCTAATGCTTTCTCTGTACTAGATTATAGAGTTTGAAGCCCTTGACTCCATGCCTGAAGGCAATAAAGATCACCTTGTTTGCTTGTAGTTTTAGTTTATTATTCTAATCATGATAGTAAGTTATACACCCATACACTCTCAAGTACTCATAATCCCTAGTAGGATGTTTTAACCACATGTCCATTGAGGTCTTCTTACCAATAGCTATAAAATAAAGACAGTTCACTAAGTGCCAGCCATAATTATATGTCCTCAACCTAATATATTATATCCAAACTAGTATTGGATATATAACATACACCTAACTTTCTCCACCAAAGTTTGGTTTATCATCTCTGTCACCCCGTTCTACTGCGGTGTCTCTCTAATAATGAAGTGGTTCTCAATCCTAGATATCTAACATTTCTGAAATAATACATCCAAAGTGTATTCACCCCCATTATGTGATCTAATACACTAGATCCTTTCTATCAGTATGAGTCTCAATCCACGTCTTCCAAGTTCTAAAAATCTTCAGCATCTCACTTTTGTGCCTCATAGTGCCCACAGTGCCCAATTAGATATATATGGAGTAATCATCAATATAGAGATAAAGTATCATTGCCTATCGAATGATCATGTCTTCACCGGGCCCCAAACATCTATTTAATTATAATCTATGATATCCCTTGTATTGTGGGTGATTTTACCAAAGGATACACGTGTCTTCTTATCAAACACATAATGTTCACAAAGATTGAGCTTGCAGGTGCTTACTCTTTTAATCTCAAAGATTTGCTCCTGTTCTTAAAATCGCCGCCAAAAATCCCACCAAAATCCATCTCTGATAGCAATTATTATGAAATACACAGGAAAAATAATAAATCAAACAACAAACAACACAAATAATAAGACGATTTACGTGATTCGGCGAAGATGTCTACATCTACGGGGAGGGGATGATGATTTCACTATATTAGAGAACAATATGAATTACAATAGACTATCAAGCTCTCTCTTCTTATCATGCATACAACAACAACCCTTATGTCCTATTTATAAATTTGAAATAATATATAATAAAGAAAATATAATTAATGCAAAGATCTAATCATGCTAATTAGATCTCCCAATAAGTGCACAAATTAAATCTTCTAATTAAAGCCAATCAAATCTTTCTTAACTAATGCATCAATTAAATCTCTAATCAAATTTCTAATTAAATCTTCAATCAAATTTCTAATCAAATCAACTAATTAAGAAAATAATCAACTCTCTAATCAATTTCATAAATTTATCATCATAGTTTTTTAAAATAAAATTTTAATTAGATTTAAAAATAATTCCAAATCACATATCAGCATCACCTTTATATACATTAATAAAAAACGCATTTTAAATATGAATTTACTTGAGAAGTGAAATAGTACATATACATATAAGAATAATGATTTAAAAAACAAATTAAATACTCGCTATAGATCTTACCATGAGTGTTAATTTGGGTCACTGTGTCGGGTTTGGGTTGAACCTGAATTGACCATATCATAAACAGGTCAACCCAACCTATTTTGCAAATGGGTCAAGTTTTTCAATCCGAACCCGACCCGTACAGGTTACCGAGTTGACCCGACCCAACACACGACCCGTTCGTAAAATGCGAACCCAAAGGGCAGTTTCGTGTGGCTGGCGCGGACACGTGGTAGGCATGACGGGCAAGGCCAACACGTGGTGCTAAACAGGTCAACTCGACCTATTTTGCAAATGGGTCAAGTTTTTCAATCTGAACCCAACCCGCGCAGGTTATTGAGTTGACCCGACCCAACACACGACCCGTTTGTAAAATGCGAACCCAAAGGGCAGTTTCATGTGGCTGGCGCGGACACGTGGTAGGCATGACGGGCAAGGCCAGCACGTGGTGCTACTCGGATGAGGTCCGCGATAGCGAGGACCTGCTTGTCCAGCTTGACCACTGGTCAGCATGTGTGAGGGCCAGCGAGGAGAGTGGCTACACGAAGCCAGCTGCTAGCGTGCGGAACTGACGGACTCCGCGGACCGCTGATGCGAGTCAAGGTCGACTGGCCGTCCGGCCGAGGCATGTTGTTGCCACATGCGGGGTCAGAGACACCCTACGCGAATGCAGGTTGATGGAGGGTAAAATTGGGTTAGCGGGTCAGCCCAACCAAATTTTAGAAACGATATGAAATCTCGAATCCGAACCTGACCCGTATGGCGAACAAGTTGACCCGAACCCAGATTTTTTAGGGTCGGGTTCGGATCAGGTAAATTTTGACACCCCTAGATCTTAAACATGATTTTTAAAAATATATATATATACACAAAATAAGTTAATATAATTATAATTCGTGTTCATATCGGATTATATTTTGACACCCCCAGATCTTGAATATGCTTTTAAAGAAAAAGAAAAAAATAGATATACAAAATAAGTTAATATGATTATAATATTACACCATTACCCATCAATCAAATTTTATCTTATATATTTCCATTGCTCTCTCGTTATTTATTAATAATAAATATTGTTTCAAAAGAGCGCTCAAATCCTCCCATGACAGTCAGGGTTCATGGAGAACCGAGATAGCTCCAATCTTCCCAATCAGCGTCGTCCGAGAGAATCTAGAGATTGCCCAATCCTTTTCCAATCTCCTAATTCAAACCCAAGAATTTATATTTTAGCCCTAAAAGCACTGCGACCACAGAGAAGAAAAAGTCCCCTCAGAAAACAAAAGCAATCAAGTGGAGAGAACGTAAAAGAAACAGAGAACAGGAGAGGGATCAGATATAAAGCTTTCCCAAGTTCTCGAGCCTCAACTTCTTTGTTGCAATCCGTTCTCTCTCCAGTCTCTTTCTCTAGCAACCCAACGGTGGAATAACCGAGACTGGCCTGGTGGATTTCCAGCCCACGGTCACCGCCGATTGCCGGCATGGACGGTCAGGATGCTGCACATCTTCGGCCGCCACCGGGCAACAGCTCCCCTTAAATGCCGGAGATGAAAGGAGTGGAAAAAAAGAGAAACTTTTACAAGGATCGGACTAACTGTAACTGAACTATCTTCAAGCTAAGAAAAGCTTTTGTCGATGGCGGGTGAGAACTCGCCGGGGACGACGCTGTCGGCAGAGGCGGCTGAGGCGACGGTGAGGGCTGTGACTAAGAGGTATGACGCTCTCGTGGCAGTACGGACAAAGGCGTTGAAGGGGAAAGGGGCGTGGTATTGGGCTAACCTGGAGCCTTTGCTCGTCCATGGCTCCGACTCCGCGCTCCCTAAGGCGGTCAAGCTCCGCTGCTCACTATGCAACGCCATCTTTTCCGCCTCTAATCCGTCTCGCACTGCCTCCGAGCACCTCAAGCGCGGTACTTGCCAAAACTTTTCGTCCGCTGCAGCGGTCGCCTCCTCCTCTGCCCCGAGACCCATCTCGTCACTTCCCCCGTACGGCAAACGCACTTCTCCATCTTCCGCTCCAGCTAGAACCTCTTATCTTGCCTTGGTTGATCCTTCTACCGCGGAGCCCGCCTTCTCTTCCTCACCAACCCCACCACCTCAGCCTCCGCCTCCGCCTGCTCTCCCCGCTCCGCACCAGCGATTGCTTTTTTCCGGTGGACGGGAGGACATCGATGCGCTCGCCATGCTTGAAGACAGCGTGAAGCGGCTGAAGAGCCCAAAAGCCTCACCCCGCCCCGCCCTCCCCAAACCCTTGTCCGATGCTGCTCTCTCCCTCCTCACCGATTGGTTCCTCGAATCCGCCGGTGCCGCCTCTCCTTCCTCCCTATCTCATCCAAAGCTCCAATCTTTCCTCCACCAAATTGGCCTCCCGACCCTCTCCCCACGCCGCATCACCGGCCCGCTCCTCGACTCCCGCTTCCGCGAAGCGCGTGCGGATTCCGACGCTCGAGCCCGCGACGCTGTCTTCTTCCAGCTTGAATCCGCCGGATGGAACTCAGACACCGAAGACACCCAGAGCTTGATCAGCCTCGCGGTGAACCTTCCAAATGGAACCACCGCCGTCCACCGCGTGATGCTTATCTCTGCTCGCGCTCCCTCTGATTACGCTGAGGAAGTCCTCCTCACCGCCATGGCAAGCATCACCGACGAAGACAACAGCGGACGGTGCGTCGGCATCGTCGCCGACAGATTCAAGTCCAAAGCCCTTCGGCGCATCGAGACAGAGCACAAATGGATGGTGAACCTCCATTGTCAGCTCCAAGGATTCCATAGCCTGATCAAAGACTTCGCCCGCGATCTCCCCCTTTTCCGTTCCATTGCGGCCAATTGTTCCCGTCTCTCAGCATTCTTCAACTCGCACTCATTAGCTCGTGCCCTGCTCCACAAACATCAGCTCCAAAATCTCAACCACAACTACCTCCTTCATTCCCCTCCCCCTTCAAGCAACAATATTGACTCCGTGTTCGCAATGCTGGAAGATGTAACTAATTCCTCCCATTCTCTTCAATCTGCAATACTTGAAAATGAATTCAAGCTACTCTGCATGGATGACCCGACTGCAAGAGAGTTTACTGAGATGATCGGAAATGTTCGGTTTTGGACAGAATTGGAAGCGATTCGCTCGCTTGTGAATCTTGTAAAGACAATGAGTGACGAAATGGAGGCCGAGCGGCCAGCGGTTGGCCGATGCCTGCCTATATGGAATGAATTAAGGGCCAAAGTAAAGGACTGGCGCGCAAAGTTCAATGTAGAAGACGACACTGTCGACCATGTCGTCGAGCGGCGGTTCAAGAAGAACTACCACCCGGCTTGGTCGGCGGCGTTCATATTGGACCCATTGTATCTAACCAAGGATGCAAGCGGCAAATACCTCCCACCGTTCAAATACCTGACGCCGGATCAGGAGAAAGACGTCGATCGTTTGATAACGCGACTGGTGTCGCGAGAGGAAGCTCACATTGCTTTAATGGAGTTGATGAAATGGAGGACGGAGGGACTCGACCCGCTCTACGCCCAGGCCGTCCAGGTGAAGCATCTTGATCCGGCGACGGGTAAGATGAAGGTGGCGAACCCGCAGAGCAGCAGATTGGTGTGGGAGACATGCCTAAGTGAGTTCCGGTTGTTAGGAAAAGTGGCGGTGCGGCTTATTTTCCTTCATTGCACGGCATACCGTGTTCGGTGCAGCACATCGCTGCTCCGACTGGGGCGGGGGTCGCCCGCGGCAGCCGAGCGGGTGGAGAAGATGGTGTTTGTGGCGACACATGCGAGGTTTGAGAGGAGAAGCTTCTCGAACGAGGAGAAAGATCCCGAGATCTTCGGCGAAGAGGAGGATGTCTCTGCGGAGGCTTCTTCAGTGTAATTTTTATTTTATTTTATTTTTCAAATTTAAATGTTCCTTTTTTTTATCTTAGATTAGATTTCTTACTTGTATCCATCTTTTAGGATTCGATCGGTTTTAGTATTTTGCTTGGATTCTTTGTATGGATTCATCTCTCATTGCTTGTTATTGTTGTTAATCTGAATTGGCAAAGAGCTCGGGTTTTTTATTTCAGGAATCAGATGTCCAGTTGCATGGATTTCAGATCGAGGATTCTTAGGCTTCTTTGTAATGGAAATTTTAATTCAAATTTTTTTAAAAAAATCAGTAAGAAAATTATCTCAAATAAAATCTTAGATTAAAAGATAAAACATAAAGTCTGGTTTCAATTATGACTTTTAATTTCAATAAACGAGCTCTTAATATATATGGTTGCTTTATTTTTTGTTATGATTGTTATCTCTTCTTATCAAGAGTCAAAGGGATACTTTGAAGCTAATTGCATCATCTTAATCTAAACAACTATTATGAAAATGTCAATAATATAAAGCATAATTTTTTTTTTACTATAGAATATATATTTATATTTTGCAAAATTAAATAATTTAATATTTTATAAAAGAAATACTTATTTTCAAGAGTAATATTTTATTGACCTAATTTTTTTAACTAATTGTACACTTATAAAAATAAATTTACACTTCAAATATTTAGGCTTCGTTGGTACAGTTATCTTATTGTGTTTTAAAATAGTTTATAATATATTTTTTTAACACAAAAATAATGACAAGGCTTTCTTACTACTTCTTAAAGCAGCTTCTAGTGCTAAATTTTAATATTTGTACTAGAAAGTTGTTTTAAGAAACAGTCAAAAAACCTTCTCAAACAAATGTCTTAGGTTTCGGTTGGGTAGCTTTATTACTGTTTCTTAAAGCAATATTCTAATACAAATTTTTAATTTTATACTAAAAAATTGTTTTAAGAAGTAGTAAAAATGTCATCCCAAATAAAACCATTGCTTATGTGAATTGATAAAAATGTATCAAAGTTACGTTCACTTTTATTTTAATTGATCCAAATAATAAATGAGGGTAAGAAATTAAAAATATATATTTTTAATATACTTTTATCTAGATAGTGAAACATTAGCAGATCAGAGAGTTCAAGCTTAGTTTTTTCAGCTGTCGCAAATAAATGCTTCAAATTTTCATAAGAAAATGGAAAACCATACCCATGTAATATGTATCTAACGTTATGAATATTTAATAGAGGTTCAAAGATTTTCATGAATTCGCCCTTGTTCTCATCCTCATGCAAAGAGCAAGACGTAGCTACTACAGTAGCAACGCGTGACTGACTAACGTCCGACCATCACGTGGCGGAGTTGATTGGCATATATCACCGGAGATTGCCGATAAAGCTTTTCATGCGTAGCCATGTTGATTCCTTCACTTGCTTCCCGTCTATAGTACTCGAAAGCAACCTGAACGACTCGGCATCGTACTCAGATTTCTGTAAAATTTATTGCTGGAGATGGAGCACAGTAGTCTTTTTAGCCACTTTTGACACTTTAGACTGTAGAACAATGACCCCACCATGCATTAATAAAAAGCTCAATTCCTCTGTTCAAAAAAGCCATATATGAATATAAACCAACGCCTATATTGATATGAAATCCAAGAAAAGAGTTTTAAAAGCCGGAAATGGAGTTGGGAGAGAAGTTGAGGTAGTGAGTAGTGGAGGAGAAGTAGAAGATGATTGAACTGGTTAGCTGAGAACAGCGCACGAAGAAGAAGAAGGAGGAGTGTATGAAGTGATGAGATGAGATCAGAGCTTTACGAGTATATATACGTCCTTTCTTTAACTTTAGCTTTTTTTCGAGTTCCTCTTTTTCGGAATTGAAGGCGACAGTGACTGCAAGACAAGGTAGGCTATGGAGTTTTATGCTGGAGGGGAGGATGGAATCCACTACCCTTGATTCATAAATGGCGTGTGTGCCAGTTCTGCTGAAACTGTTCGACGAAATGACAGGGATTGGGCCGGGTTACGTTCGGATGTTGTTAAGGGTGTATTATTATTGTTATTTGGTGAGGGGAGAACGAAAATCAATTTGCTAGAATCGTGTACTTTATTTCTCTTAGTGTGGTATGATGGCGAGGGGCGAAAGCTCTTAATTTACTACTTGGTCATGCTGAGCCATGAAACAAATCCTCGCAATGAGGTGACTATACTATAGAAGCGGAGTTTATAAGTGAACAAATTATGTGATAGTTTTGAAGAAACCAAAGAAAGGGAAAGGTAGAAGACAGGTAATAGAAAGCATATAGAAGTAATTGTATTTCATTACCCTGTTCCGTTACAACAATGTCAAATATATAGTATTGAGTAGATAGTAGGTACACGTGTAAGGTTGTAATTGGTGAACAAGATTATTCATTTATGTTGGCTGCTCTAACATTCCCCCGCAAGCTGACGAGTGGTTACCAACAGCCAGTTTGGAGTGGAGATCTTTGAACCGAGTAGTAGATTACGGTTTTGTGAGTATATCAACAAGTTGATCTATCGTGCTAACTGGTAGCAGTCTTATGTGTTTTTGCTGTATATGATCACGAACGAACCTCTGATCAATTTCGATATGCTTTGTTCTAGCATGAAAAATAGGATTATTTTCCAATGCTATGGTGGACATGTTGTCACAGAATATGTCTACCGGTTGGACAGGTTGATGCGGAAGTCCAAAAGTAATCGTCTGATCCATAGCGTGTCCGTCGTGGCCGCTGCCAATGCCCTGTATTCCGATTCCGTGGATGAGCGGGAGACGGTGGATTGCTTTTTGACTGTCCAGGAGACTAATGTATTGCCCAGAAATGTGAAATAACCAGACGTGGATTTCCTGGTCACTGAATCTGATGCCCAGTCGGCATCCGAAAAGGTTCGTAGTTGGGGTATACCAAAGTCCGTCGAGCCTTTGATATATCTTAATAGTTTCTTGAGCATTAGAGTGTGTTGAGGAGCTGGATCGTGCATGTGTTGCAAGAGAACATTGACCGCGTAAGCAATGTCCGGGCGAGTCAATGTTAAATATTGTAAAGAGCCTATGATACGCCTGTACAGTGTAGCGTCAAAGCACGGGTGATCATCAGTTGCTGTTACAATGGGTTTTGAAAAAGATGGTTTAGCGACAGAATTGCATTTCTGCAATCCGGCCATTTGCACAATTGAGTTGGCTAAAGAGATTGGGAAAGAAAATACGTATCTGGATTGGAGTCAATTTTAATGCCTAAGAATTAGTGTGCTGCACCTAAATCCTTCATAGTGAATTTAGATTTTAATTGATCAACAAGATCAATCATTGCTTGGTTACTGTTGCCGATGATTAGGATATCATCCACATAGACGAGTAGATAAATTTGAAGTTGATCCCGGTGCAACAGCAGGAGAGACGGGTCCGCTTGGCTTTGTTGAAACCCGACCTGAAGAAGATATGAGGTGAAAGTAGTGTACCATTGTTGTGGAGCTTGACGTAGTCCGTATATTGCCTTGCATAGAAGACACACATAATTTGGTTTGGAGGAGTCTTCAAAACCTTTAGGTTGACGCATATAAACTGTCTCGTTGATGTCACCGTGCAAGAATGCATTTGCAACGTCGAGTTGATGAACTTTCCTTTTGTGAAATAACGCTACCGTGAATAGGATACTATGGTAGGTAGCTTGGCTACCGGGCTAAAAGTGTCATGATAATCTATTCCAAATTCCTATTGGTTACCTTGAGCCACCAATCGTGCCTTGAATCGCGCTATGGATCCATCTAAATTAAACTTTGTTTTGTATGTCCATTTTGAGCCAAGTATGGATCCATTTGGAGGTGGTGGTACCAGAACCCAGGTACCCTGTTTCTGGAGAGCGAAAAATTCATCAGTCATGGCATTTTTCCATTCAATTTTCTTGTTGGCTTCATTATAGGTTGTAGGATCATTTGGAGTTTGTTCCTGATGAAGTAGGTTGAGTCTTTGGACTGGTTTAAGTGTCCCAGTTTTAGTTCGCGTGGTCATATGATGAATGTTGTAATTAGTAGGTGCTTCCTACCTAGCCCGATTGTTGCTAGGAACGTTGTTATCTGCTGCATCCGGTTGAACACAGTTTTGTAGCGGCATGTCTTGCTGATTATTGATTTGAGTTTGTTTCTGGATTGTAGACACAGGAATGAGCAGCGGATGCGGTGTGTTGTTCGTGCCCATAAGAAAGTTTGATGACCTGTTGATGCAAGGAAAAACAGTCTCATTAAATTTGACATGCCGTGAGACGATTATTTTACCTGTGACCGGATTATAGCATTTGTAGCCTTTCATGCTTTCGGAGTAGCCCAAGAAAATGCACGCTACGGATGTTGGTGTAAGTTTGGTTCGATTTATCGGAGACAATAATGGATAGCACTCACACACGAATGTCCTAAGGTGATCGTAGGAGGGTGTGATGTTGAACATTCGTTGCAGTGGAGACATATTTCCGATGGTTGTGGATGGTAGGCGATTGATAATGTAGCAGTGGATGCAGCATCGAGCCAATGTACCATTGGTAAGCTGGCGGTTTGAAGAAGAGTTCTTGTGGTCGTAATAATGTGTCGATGTTTTCGTTCAGCGATTCCATTTTGCTCCGGAGTGTACGGACATGTTGTTTGATGCTTAATTCCGGCATTCTTGGTGAAGTGTTGAAACCGCTGGTTTACAAACTCACCGCCGCCATTTGTCCTTATTATTTTAAGCTTTCAAGAGGTTTGTCGTTCAATGAGCTTAACAAAGTGAATGAAGACATTAGTTACATCAGATTTATACATTAGCGGGTAAAGCCAAGTAAATCGAGAAAAGTCGTCTACGAATATTATATAGTATTTGAATCCTTGTTGAGAGGGAATAGGGGATGGTCCCCAAACATCCGAGTGAACCAAATCTAGAGGGCCGTTAGTACTAGTAATAGAACGTTTAAACGGTAGTTTATGACTTTTACAAGAATTGCAAGAATTACATTGAAATTTAGACAACGAAATATGTAAAGATGGATTAACATGAGAAATTTGCTGTATAATCCTATGATGAGGATGTCCAAGCCTCAGGTGCCAAGCGTATGAAGAGGTGCTTCGAGTCGAGAGTGCTTGAAGTTGCTTCTTGATAGTTTGAGCTGCTACCTTGTATAATCCATCTTTGCAAGGACCGCTAAGTATGATTTGATTGGTCACCCGATCCTTAAAGACAAAACCGTTAGCATCAAACGTTATAGAAATAGGATTGTCTTTCACAAGATTAGAGATAGACAATAGATTATAAGATAACGACGGAATATGTAAAAGACGCGATAAAAGAAGCTTACTGGACGGGGTTGGAAGGATGCCCGTCCCTGTGTGATTAATTTGGACGGACCTTCCATCCCCAATTGTAACCATATCATTGTCATTGTAGGAATTGTAGTTTGCCATATTGTCGGTATTGTTGGTCATGTGCGAGGACGCACCCGAATCGATATACCAGTCTGTGGCTGGGTTGCTTTCATTGTTTGCAATGAGTGCATTGGTGTTCTTGGATGATGTCTGAGACGGAGCATAGTTAATATTGAGACGATGCCATCACGCGTCGCGCGGCCATGTGTCCTTTTTTTTTTGCAAATTTGACAGATGATGGCTGAGTTAGAATTTGTTCTTGTTGCCGTGGAAGACTCATGTGTTTGCTTGCCGCGACCTCTCTTTGGTCGTCCACGATAGGCATATAAGGCGGCATTGTTGTCTGGCTGTTTTTGAAATTTTAAAGCTACAGACTTAAGATGTATTTCCTCACTGATAAGGAGGGCATACAAATCAGGGGCGGAACTAGCCTTAATTTTCAGGGGGGGGCAAGCTTATAAATAAATGTCGCGGGTGCAAGGGGGCAGCGCCCCCAGCGGGGTTCGACCTACCCGGTCAGGTCGCGGGGTCAAGGGGCAGCGCCCTTGCGGGGGTTTCTGGGGGCAGCGCCC